GGGGAAGTTCTGGGAGTTGAAGCCCACTCATCTTAAAGTGGCCAAGTTTGGACAACATTGCACTAAAGGAAGTAAACTAACTAGCTATGTTTAACCCTGTGCAGAGGAAACTGAGGAAAGATAGGCTAGGTTTTTTTCAAATAGCTGTATTACTTGAATGAGGGATTTCATGGATTTAAGCTACCACAATGCAGATTCCAACTGAATGTTAGAAAGTTGGAAAAGCATTCTAATCATAAGAGTGTTTGACAATGGAAGCAATAACCCAGTTTTATGGTGGGCTCTCCTTCACTGGATAAATTCAAGTGGAGGTGAGACAGCCACCTGTTGTGGATTCTTTAATTGGATTCCTGCACTGAGCAGGGGCTGGACTCAGTGACCTTAATGGCCCTTTTCAAGGGTTTGATTCTATGGTAGGTATTTTTGCCCCACAACTTCAAATTCTGGGAGTTGAAGTCCTCTAAGGGGAATGCTAGCCTGATGGCTTTGCAGCTCCCTCTCAGTAGCCCAAAGAAAATGGGCAAAGGCAGGATTGACAGATGTTCCCTTCATCTGACAAAGCTCCAATATGTTTTTAGATTATTTTCTTTTTTTCCTTTCTGGTGCTGCTAATAGTGTAGGGATTTCTGTTAACTGGAGGGCCTGTAGCAGCTTGGCATATAGCATTTTTCCTCCTAGTTTTCAGAATTTCTGAATCAGCAGAAGCACTTTAATGGTTTATAGTTATGGTCAGGATTCCACCAAATTGCTTCTAAGGATCTGAAGAGAGAAGGCCCAGATGGGCCATAAATTCTCCGTTAAATAGAATTGGATTGGTTATGGTGAAATCCTGGCCATAATTGTAATACTAGCAGAACCTAACCTAACCAGGCTAACCTTGTCTTAGCATGTTGTGTGAACCAATCATGTCAAGTCATCATAGGCTTTATTTGGGGGGCTTTGCCAGGAATGTGAACAAAAAAAAATGGTTTTTTGTTAAACTGGGTTTGGCTTATCATGAGAACACAGGTGATGGCTTAAGGAAGCAAATGGACAATAAGAGGACTTTGTCAGAGAGAAATAATGTGAGTGTGATTGAAGATAATCACCACCCCAACATAGCTACTCTTCTGAACTTCTTGGAAGAGGAGGAAATATGATGAGGTGGCGGTGTAGCCTCATGAGATTGGTTCCTGATAAACTATTCTGCCCCCCCCCGAAAAAAAAACTAACCCAAAGTTGCCCAACTCCCAAGCAGACTGAAAGCTTGTGATTTATATGTATGTGATGGATTGGAATACAAGATGAAGGAGCTGTGAGCTTAATTCAACCAAGAGATTGCTGTGCTCTATAGATGTTTGTGGAAATGTCCACACAGGGCCTCAAGAAAACTCTGGAGAATAAAAGAACCCTATGGCTTCAGAAACTAAATCTTTTGGAAGCTCAGAAGGAATCCTTGGATAAGGAACTTATTAAAATGGCAGGAAATATGCGGAGAATGAGGACGGAACAACTACACTTAAAGAAAACACTTTTGTCCAGGTTCTTCTTCTTCATTATATAGAGAGCATGGTTTCATATTGTGTTCGTGCGTGTACACATGCACACATAGATTCAGTTGCAAATTCCTTACAGTTCAGCGAGTAAAGCTCTTAGTTTGGGTTGCCCTTAGTTTGGGTTGTTTGGGTTATGCCATGTGGTAACATTTCCGTAAGACTAAACCAAAGAGAACTAGTAGCCCATAATACCCAAGTGATGCCTTTCTGTGGGAGGTAAGTTGGCCTAGGTGAAGGAGATGACTCACCCATATTTCTCCCTCTGACTAGGGAGAAGGAATGAGCAATGGGTCTCTGCAAAAGAAAACAAGAGAGCAAGGCTCTACATTGTGTTAGAGGGGAGATATCTGGGTAGGTCAAGTCTGGGAGATGTCAGAATCTGCTCAAACTGCAGATTGGGAACATTGGTTGTAGTTTAAGGCCCTCATCTTTCTTCTTAGCTTTATTTTTAAACTCGACTGGGTAGAGCTTTCTTTAAAATGGCAGACTTTCCTCTGTAAAGTCAGACACACCAGCACATTGGTGGATGGGAGGAGAGAGGCATAGAAGTTGAAAGAAAGAAGGTGGATCTATATAGGTGAATATGATCAGGTATACCCCACAATGCTCCTAAGCCTGGAAATGCATATGATTTAGCAGAGGTAGTTTCCAGGAATCCCAAGATCGAAGTTACCCGTTCAGAGAATCTCTTGTAAACTTGGAGAGAGTAATTCAGGTTTGAATAATGCTTCTGTACAGTGCTTTTGGTGTTTTGTTTAATATCTTATAGACAACGTGAGATCCAGTCCATCAAACAGCTCAAGGAAGATGCTCTGGCAGAAGCAGATGTCTTGAGATTGACATTGCAAGGGCTAACTGAACAATTAGAGGAGGCTAATAAGAGGGTAAGTGTCCTACGTTGTGCTTTTACGTCATCGTTTTTTTTTTTTTTAAAGATGGAACAATCTTTAGAGATGCCAAGCTAGTAGTGTGAATTGTCTGATCTGGACACTCAGGGTTCACCCACTATCATCTGAACAGAACACTTAACCTGGCAAAGCTGAAGGTTGAAATCTAGAGAGCAATTTCTTAAGATGGCTTCATTTCCAGCTGGATTTAGCATGGAAACAAGCACTCAGGGCTGCTGGGTGGATGAGCCCAAAACAGAAACAACAAACCCATTAACAAACCTTCCATGGGAGAGGGAGAGTGGTTATAGGCACCAGGTTAGAAACTGGGAGACCATGAGTTCTAGTCCTGCCATAGACATAAAGCCAGCTGGTGGACTTTGGGCCAGTCCCTCTCTCTCAGCCCTAGGAAGAAGGCAAAGCCTTCTGAAAATGTTGCCAAGAAAACTGCAGGACTAACTCAGATGTACCCCATACCTACCTACCTTTATTTTGACTCATTTATTTATTTATTATCTAGATTTATAAGGCTGCCCAACTCAAACAATGTGACTGGGTGGCATACAACATGAAAATAAACAATAAATGCCCCTCCCAACTTTATTACATTAAAACATGTACAATATATAAATATGTATATTGATAATTTGCCTTTATCTGATAAGCTGCCCAACAGGAGTTTCCTCAACATGACAGCCTTCTGATGAATTGGAACTCAACCCTCAGAGTTCTCAGCCAGCTAGCTATGGACTGTGGGCATTGAAGTTCAGCACTGTTGATGGGGGAGATTACTCTAGCATAATTCCAAGGAAGATTTGGGCCGTGTTATAGAAATGAGATTTCTGCTTCCCAGGCTGCCCGGAAGATCTTTAAAATGTTAAGGGGCAGGAGGAAAGACCGTAATTGCCCTGTGGCCAATGTAAGACCCACCCTATTGGGTGTATAAATTGCATAGCAGTACTTGACTCAGCACTCCTGTATCAGGTTTAGAGATTTATCTGAAACATCCTGTCTTGAAATGGGACAGGTATCGTATTTTGGAGACATTCCTGAGTACCTTTTTGGTCTGCTCCTCTGCAATCCATGCGATTTGCAAGTCCTACCCAAGGTTCTGCATAGCCATGGAGTCTAATCTTCCAGATTGTCCTCACTCAGGAAACATTTCAACTGGGTTTAACATAGCACCAGCTACCTGATTTCTGATAAAAGAAGAGAACTGACTTTGACTCTTTTAGGACCTCCCAGGGAAAGGAAGTGTTTGTGACACTACTGGCAGGTTGGTGCGTCTTCACTCTCTCCTCATTTTTGCCATTGTCTCCTTCCGAGGGCTGAGAGAGAGGGACTGGCCCAAGGTCCCCCAGTTGGCTTTGTGCCTAAGGTTCTAACTTAGGTTAGAACATTCAACTGCAGGTTTGTTGTTTTAATTTTACTCAGTACAGTGACTGAGATGCTTTGAAATGTTGATTACTATGGAGTCTTAATGTGCAGTGATGGTGGAGTGATTGCTTGTGCTATTTTTTCTATTAAATCAGGGCTGTTTTTCACGTAGGACTCTGTTTCCATCTGTAAAATATTGGAGAGAATGAGCTTCAGAGCTGCAGCTGCAGGCATTTTGGCTTAGCAAAAGCAGAACTTGTGTGCTCATCTGGAACTTGCAGAAGTGTGATTGCAGAGGAAGTCAAAGCCAAGCGTAGGGGGTGGCAACTTCTAGTGCTATGCACAGGAAAAGGACTGCTTGGTGCATACCAACAAACAGAACCTGTGTCTCTCAAAATGCAGAAGCATGAGGAGTTCATGGCTTCCGGAAAGAGATCAGATGTGTTTTTGGTCTCTTTTTTTAAGCTGCCCACAGGGAGTTTTAGACAGTGTGTGTCTGGCAGCATTTGATGCTGGAAACTTGTGTTGACCTGCTGCTACTTTCTCAGGTTAAGGATCGAGAGAGTGACTTTCACGCTGCCCACGAGGAAGCAAGGTCTTTACAGAAGAAGTTAGAAGACAGTGTTGCCCAGCAAGGAAGCCTCCGGAGTCAAAATACAGATTTAACACAGAATTGCCAGCTGCTGGAACTGAAAGCTAAGGAACAAAGTAGTAAGTATCCCCTAGCTATTTGCTCCCTCTGTCCTTTAAGTTAGTATTTTGTAGATGGCTGACCTGCATTTTTCATGGGTTCAACCATTTCCCAAAAGTAATTGGATGGAGATTCTAGCTATCAGCAGGTGCTAGCCGTGATAGCTATATACTCTTTTAGGTTGGGGAGCAAAGAGTTGGTGAGGGAGAAGGAACTGCTTCTTTTACACCTAACTTGTGAGTTCTCTGGGACATCTGAGTGAGCTAAGAAGATGCTGGCTTCAACAAGATTTAGCTTCATCCAGCATTGCTCTACTATGTTCTTAGTGGATAAAAGATTACCTTCTCTGTGCTGAGCTGGGGTGAGACATGATGGCTTATATAGTCCCATCTAGCTCTGTGATTTCTAGAGATGATTCACGCTTGCATAAGAAGAGGGTTGCCCAATTACATCGGGTTCCTGGAGTAGTCCAGCACATGGCTCCAAAGCAAGAAAGGTATGAAGGCAACTTCTCTCTCTTGTTGTTCCCTAAAAACAATTCTCTACAATTAGAGAAATATTGCCTCTGGAAACTGGAGCCTGGTGATAGCTCTAAGTCAGTGGCTATTGACTGATAGAGACTGGACTTTAGAGTGAGTGTGGTGGTATAGGTATTAGACTAGGACAGGTAGACCCAGGTTCAAGGCCACCCTCACTCAAAGAAGATCATCTATGGAGATGATGGACCAGTCCCTCTTTTTAAACCCAAGAGCTAGCTTGTAGTGATGAGGGGATTGGACTAGGAATGGGGTCATCCAGGTTGTAGTCCCCTTTCAGCCATGGAAGCTCCCTGGAGGACTTAGAGTGAATCACCCTCTCAGCCGAAGAGCCAGAGATGATGAAGGGGTTGGACTTAGGAGTGAGGAGACCCAGATTCGAGTCCACCTTCTGCCATGGAAGCTGCTCAGATGACTTTGGACCACTATGCTATTGCAGCAATATCTGTAGGGTTGTGGGAATATTTCAAGGAGTTGTATTAATATAGCTGATAAGTAAAGTGTAGCTTTACCTCTGTGAGGGGAGCAGGTATGTACTTTTATCACTGTTGCAAGAACAACAAAATTCATTGTAACTGTTGAGAGCAAGTAAACATTTTCCCAGTCCTTGGGAAGATTTGGATGATCCCATGGCAATGAATGATAAATACCCTGGATCTAGCTGTTCAGTACCACTTATCCCATTCCCAAATGGCATCTATCGAGTACCAGAATTAAAGAAAAATGTATATTATTTTTATTTAAAAGGTCATGAGGACCTTTTAAATAATGGGGATGAGATGCCCTGAAACTCAGAAGATTTGATTGATTATATGCCATCAAGTTGTTTTTGACTCCTAGCGATCACACAGATAGATTTTCTCCATGACAATCTATCCCTAACCTGCTCTTCCAGGTCTCCCAAAGGTGCCCTCATCACCACTATAACGAAGTCCATCCACCTTCCTGCTGATGGTTCTCTTCTTCTTTTCCTTCCACCTTTCCCTGCATCAGAATGTTCTCCAGAGAACTAGGTCTTCGCATAATGTGTCAGAAGTAGGATAATTTGAGTCTGCAGAAGATTTGGATTATTTGGAGAAAAAAAATGTTTTTCTTTTTTGGGACCTGGAAAAATGACCAGTCCTTGAAATAACCAGACATCCCCTCTCCCACCATATTTTGCCTATTTTACAGTGGTTCCTGCAGGAGCATTATGATCAGACTCCTCCCAGGAAGAGCGCTTGAGGCACTCTTTCTCTCTTTATTTTATGGGTAACCCCAGTTAGTTCCCATGGTAGACTGATAAGGCATTAAATACTTCTGGAGTTCAGTGATTCCAAGGTGGCTTCTTGGAAGAATGGCTAATTAAAACACAGAAACCTCTCTACTTGTCCTAGCTAAACCTTGTTCTCAAGCTTTCTTTTATTTTCAAATGGGATTTTTGGCCATGAGAAATGTCCCCTGCATTTTTTTGCATCCAGAATTCAGCACCGCTCTTCGAAATGCTTGCAATTGCAATGAGGAAAGGGGGTGCTATAGTTTCCCTTGATTTTGCTCGGGTATCTTGTTCAGCAGAACACAAAAATCACTCCTGAAAAGCGCATAATTTGGTGGGGAGTGCCTGACTGTCTTCTAGTTAAAAACTGTTTCTGTGGTTTGCAAATACTGACCATTGTTGTCCAATGTCTTGTTTTATAGCTGCTCTGGAATCACTCAGGGAGAAGTATTTAAAAAGACTGTTGTGTGGTGTACTTTGTCAGGTAGGGTATCAATTTATTTATTTAACAATGTGTGTATTTATTTAACTATCTGTTTGTTTATTTTAGTTACAGGATAGAACTGGGATGTCCAGGAGATTTCCCAGCATCCTCCAGTGACAAGATCCAGATTGCTCTGAATAACCTAGCCCAGCCTGAGACATGCATTGGACTACTAGTCCCATGCTTCCTAGGCACACAGGCTCGGAATTAGGAGGGTTGTGTTTCAACACAGTTTGAAGACTGCAAGATGGATAGGCTTCCTTAAAGGAAGCTGCAAAGCTTCCATTGGATTGAAACCAAGGCGGTTTGCAGTATAAAAAGACCTGTATTGGAAAATCTGTTTTCCGCCTAAAAGGCTAGAGATCATCATATAGAGGTTCACTGAGGCATTAAACCAGAAGGGTCAAGAAAGAGATATATGTTCTGTAAAAACAGTCCTACAGAACTGGTGGCCTTCAACTATCCCTAATTGTTGGCTGGATGGAGAAGTTTTGAAGGTTAGCAAGGAAAAGCTATGGGTCACTCCATGTCTCTCTAACCATTTTTGTTAATGTCTAGATTTCTCTGCATTCTATCATTGTATAATAATAATAATAATAATTTATTAAACTTGTATGCTGCCCAACTCTCAGTGATTCCTGGCAATCAAAGAAATTAAAATCAATAAACAATAAACAATAAAGATAAAAGATGGCAAGTGTGATGAAGCCAGGGATCTCACTCTCCATTGTCAAAGGCCTGGGTGAAGAGGCAGGTCTTCATGGCTCTTCTGACCACCAGTAGAGTGGGGGACACCCGGATCTCAGGGGGAACCTTGTTCCAGAGGGCAGGCACTGCTACAGAGATGGTGCACTTCCGGGGTCCTGATAGATGGCATTGCTTAATTGAAGGAACCTGGAGCGTGCCAACCCTGCTGGGCAGATCTCATGGGAGACAGGTGGTTCCTCAGATAACCAGCCCATATGCCATATCATATAATGCCCATCCAAGGGCAGTATCTGGTTAATCTGGAAAAGCTAAACAGGCTCTTCACAGAAAGCCTTAATATTCTAAAGGATCTGTTAAATCAGAATTGATCTTCAGTAGCTTGAATAGAATTTATTGTAACTGTTAATTTTATGTTATGATTTATAATGTGCTGACTGCTGTTGACCTTCATATATTGTTTGGATGTTCACAACAGCCAGTAGTTTTCAAAATGATGCAATATATTCAGTTACTTAAAACCAGTTAATGAAATATGGAAAATATTAGCCTAATTCTGTGATGCTTGAAAAATTAGCCTAATACTCTGTTTATTCACTTTATTTCTTTTTTTTCCCTTGCTCTCTTCTTTTTCTTGTCTGTCCTTTTTCTTTTTCCTCTTTTTGTTTTCTTTTTTTTCAAACATGCTTAATAAAATTATAATTTCTTTTAAAAAGAAAAGCTAAACTGGGTTGGTTTTAGTTAATACTTGCCTGAGAGACCCCCAGTATCTCAAGACTGCAAGCTAGACAGGACATTGAAAAACCTTCTCAGAAGAAGGTGACGGCAAACCATTTCCGCATTGTTGCCAAGAAGATTTCCAGATATGCCCACAAAGTCTCCTGGAGTCAAAATCTCAAGGGAGATACCTTTTTTATGATGTCACAGGACTGTGCAATGTTTACAATTAAGGTGCTTCAAAAGCACATAAATCTGTCAACAGTTCCTGCAACAACATACATCTTTCCCTGGGATTACGCTGCAACTGGGAAGGACAGCTGTGGAATCCTGGGAGATGATGCAGCTGCTTTAAAGAGTTGCTGATAGATGCTATGCAAATATCCTTAATGCTCCAAATGACCTTTTTCCCTTTAAATCTGAAATGCTGTGTGATCCTACTATTTAACAGGCACTGGTTTCTGAATGCTGTTGGTCAAATACTCCATCCATCCATCTTATCTATCATTGTTATCTATCTGGTTATTTACTGTTGTAGCATTCAATGGTTGTGTTATGGGCAAGCGGTCCTGTGCCACATGCCCTCAGAGCCTAAATGTAATCATGAAGCTTGGTACCATTTGGGTGAGGCAGTGAAGCATGGAGGTTGTAATATCTTTATCCTGAATGTTTTACCTTTAAAGCTGGGGTCTAATGATGATAATTGTCAAGCTGTCGTTTGCCAAATGGGACTGTGGCAATCTGTCTGAAGGTTTGTCTCAGACACAGCTGGAACAAGGTCTGGGATTTTGGCTCCCTGGATTTAGTGGCTACTTGCCACTAAAAGGAAAATGTTCTCAAAGGAAAGTTTTGTTTGGTTTCCAAAAGGGCTCTGTTGCTTTCTGTAGGAAGTTGCCCAAACATCAACCCAGAATGCTTTTCTAATCTTAAAACAGCATCCTCTGTGCTGATTGGAAACATCAGCTGGGGATTTTCCCAGCCCTAGAAATGGGAGGTGGGTTGGATTTAAGGCCTTTGGCACACAAAACACGTATTCTGCCTTTGAGTTCTTGCAAAATATGTTTCTACAGTCTCTCTACAGGAACCAAAACTTTGCCCCTTCCTTGCCCCAAGTGCTGTCACTTAATGTTTAGCACTGTCCTCTTGAATAGCAACCGTACTTTCAAAAAAACATCTGGGTTTTCTTGGTGAACTGAATTTTCTTTCAGTTGATCAGCGTGCTAACTTGTTGTTAAAACAGAGCTGTGTGTTTGGGGATGAGAGTCCTTTGCCCTGCTCAAATGTCAATGAAGAGCTAAGAACAGAAGAGAAGGTAAGTGCAGACAAATTCTGAGGATGTATGTTGTAAGAGAACTTGAAGAGGAACTGATAATTTCCTCCTCTTTGATGTGCATTTGCAACGTCTTCAGTTGGAAAGTTGAGGTGGCAGAGATGATAACTGAATATCCTTCTATATGTTCAAAGCTTTGGTTGGCACTTTTGATCCTAAATTGAGGTTACTTTCCATAAGAGGTGTTGCTTTTCTGCAATCAGTCAGAACTGGAATTCAGACAAAGATTCCAGATAATGCTGTATTCTGTTTGACTGTACAATATACAAATCTCATCTGTTAAAGTACCATAATCCTGATTAAAGTCTCCTATTTTTAAATATTATCAGCTGACCTGAGATGAGAAATTAGTAATGAATAAACTTGGGCCTTTCTCTTTATTTGCATTTCTGGATTTGCCCTTCCCCATCTTACGCCATATCTTTACGTGCACGTAATCATGGTGCAAACGTGCCTTGGCAACATCTTTTTTTATCCGCCTTAATAAGAACATAATAGAAGAGCAGAAGCAGTGCCCTGCTGGATTGGACCCCAGGCCCCTCTAGTCCAGCAGTCTGTTCTCACAGCAGCCAACCAACTGCTCATGGAAGCCCACTAGTCTCCCAGCAGATGGCCTTCAAAGGTCATCTATTAGCCATTGATCCTTGTGACTTCCGTGAATTGGTCCAGCCCTTTTCTGAAGCCAGCCAAGCTGGCAGCCAGCAGCACATTACATTCCTGCGATGTTGACTTAGTTCAATATCTAGCCCCTGTGCAAGGCAATGTAGGAAGAGTGTTGATGCTTTTGAACTTTGGCGTTGAAAAAGACTTCTGAGAAAACTGTAGACAGCCAAGAAAACAAACAAATGGATCATTGAACGAATCAACCTAGAGTTCTCACTCGAGGCACTTGAGACTTAGCTCAAATTACAGATAGTTCTCAATTAACCTCACAGCTTTGAACAGTTGCTGAATGAGTGGTACTTATAATTGGTCCTCGAAGTTCCAGCTGTCTCAGCAACCCCATGGCAACTGGCTCATCCTTACAATGGTTGCAGCTTCCCGCAGTCACATGATCTCCATTTGCAACCTTCCCTGCCAGCAAGAAAGGTTGCAAGTCTCTCCTGTAAGTCACTCCCGCTGCTTTTTCTCCCAAGGAGCCCACTATGGGATCTCGTACAGCGTAGCATGAGGCTGCCCGCAGCATCCCCTGCCCACGCCTCCTTGTGCACACCCATTTGCCAGTAGTCATGCGGTGCCCCAGCGCACCCTTCCACACCCACCCACACTCGTGCACACCACAGTGGCCCCTTGGCTGCACTCCATAGCACTCGCCTGCCAGCCTGCTTGCAAGCCTCCCAGGACTTGCAATTTCCCTGTCGTCTTCCCCATTGACTTTGCTTGTTGGAAGCTGGTAGGAAGTCACGGTCATGTGAGATCCTCCTTTAACGACCAGTGATCTTCACTTAACGACAGCAATGGGGACTGCTGGGATTGCCATTGTTAAGCGATGAGTTCATGTGATATCGCACTTTATTACCACATCACTTAGCAATGGAAATTCCAGTCCTAATTTCTGTAATTAAGCAAGGGTTACCTGTATCTTACTTCAGACACATTATGCAAAGACCCAGCTCTCTGGAGAAGGCTGTAATGCTGGGAAGGTGGAAGGAAAGAGAAGAAGAGGACCAGCAGCAGCAAGGTGGATGGACTCACGGTGGCTATGCGTGCACTGTTAGGAGACTTGAAAGAATAGCTTAGGGACAGATCATCCTGAAGAAAATCTATGTGTTTGCTAAGTTGACAATGACTTGATAACACATAATCAATCAAAAAAGCCTGGTGTTAAAATAATGTTTTCCCCTTTCACCTGACATAGTCCAAGGGCAGGCTCGAAGTGCATAAAATCTGTTAGGCTTTGTCAACTCTGGCCTTGAAGGGAAGGAACTGAGAGGAAGCAAAAGAAGCAGGATTGGGATTGGCAACAGGGATAGCAAATAGCAGGATGTTCTAATTTTCTTAAAGGTCAGTGAATTGTAGGCCTGTGCAGTCTCTGAAAATGATTCGGAAAAGACCCTGCCTTAAATTGTGTGGCTCATGAAAGCAGCTCTGTCTTTCTTCAGGCTCGCACAGATGCAGCTGCTTTAAACAAGCACTGTGTTTCTGTGTGTTCTGGAGCATCTCTTCCAAACTGTTTTCAAAACCCAGGCCTTGTGGATGGCGTTATGACTCAGGAGTGGGGAAAGACTCATTGTGGCACCTTTTTTCTTCTCTTGGGTGTGAGGCTGTAACTGTTCTAAGACTGACAGTGCCTTTGAGATAATGCGTTGCTATCAAAATGCAGGTAGAGGTGCCCAGTTATTCAGAAAAAGAGTCATCTGACCAGATGCTTGTTTTCTGGTAGAAGGAACTCTCTATAAATTAGTTGAACTGCATTCGAGCTTCTGGGAGACAACCCCCATACTTTCAGTTCCTCTTCTTTAATTAGAAAACCTGCTGCAATCAAAGACTTGGAACCCAACCGTGCTGGCCTTGGAGCGTGTGCTGGTCCACATCAGACACCTTACTGCTAGGTAAGCTTAAAACATGCGTTGGGGGCAAGAGGGTTGGCTAGAAGAAGGAGCCTACAGCACTGGAAGAAGAAACCTGGGTCTGATTTGCATGTTGCTCTGTGTTGTTTTTCAGTATTTGAATTTTTTTTTTTTTTTCACGAAAGGGGTAAGGAGGAAGACTTGGAAGCAACATGGTCAGAGTTTTGGGAATTGTTCTTTTTATCACATCATTTTCCAGGTTCTTCCACTCCCTTTTATTATGATTATTAAGTTTGTAGTGAATACTTTTTCATTAATATTTTTGTATGTATTTATGCTTTTGTTAATTAGTATTTATTTATCAATCATCTGTCATCCATCTATGGATGAAGACTAAAGCATGCGTCTTTTTTGAAGCAGTGTAGCTCAGCAGCAATTAAAAAGGCTCGGATTCAAAGGTCCTCGTTGAGCGATTAGTTTTTTGAGTGGTCATTGGTAAGTTTATGTAGAACTCAGATTACAAAAATACAGGTAGTCCCTGGGTTAAGAATGCCCGGGTTACAGACAACCCATAGTTCAGAATGGAACCTATTGTAGCAAAATTTGAGTTAAATACACAATGATTTGAATTAAATACATAATGGTTCGAGTTCATTACACAATACTATTTATGCAGTATTATACAATAATACCGTTCTGGCTTACATACAAATTCAACTTAAGGACAGACCTTGGGAACGGAACTTGTTCTTAAACTGGGGACTACTTGTATCTGAAATTGGCCACATTGCTTACAACTTGGAGGATCAAACTGTACTTTATAATATCCCAACTCAATAGTCTTGTTCTGCACGATTCCAGTTTAACAAAGCCACATCTCCTGGGCTTCCTCCCATCAATAATTCTGCCACCTGTCCTTCTCTGTGTCTTTGACAGAAGCATTGTCACTTGATTCTCTGCAACTGATTCGAAGAAATTCTCTGCCCAGGACTGTTGGACATTCTCAAATATTGTTTATATTTGGGAAACAACACTTAAGAAATGGAACCACCTCGGGTGTGATATTGGATGAATACAAGTAAGATCAGAGGCCCAGCTTTTAAAATGTTGCCTCTTCCAAAGTTGATAGAGGCTACACATTGTTCAAAACGTTTTTTAAAATTCTCAGTAGATAATGTTTCTCCTACATTTCCAGTATCTTCCCATTTGCTTTTCAATTTCCTAGTGACTTCTATTCCCTTTTATGTATGATTCAGATGAGCAAATCTACTTAGCTTTTTCAAAGCCACTGATAATACTCATTATGATGGATTGGTTACCAGAACCTATAGGTTTGCATGTCCCATCATCCACACTAGCTTCCTTTTCAAGGTCATCATTTGCAACTAAGAAGATATTCGTAAACCTGTGTCCGATATCTAACAATCCCTCTGTTTCTTTATAAAAGAAAGTGGACATTTCTTGTTGGGTCATGCAAACCTTTCTAGTGGTTGCCCCATAATTGGGCAACACTTGGGCCAAGTACCTTTTACAAATGTTGTAAGATCTTCTATTTCAGCAAGCAATTTTCTTAGAAACTTTGTTGCTCCTCTGAGTGGTATTATCCCTATACAGTTATTATGTACGGGGATAACGTGTTGCTTTTTTAGCAGCCTGCTCTTTTGAACTACTGGCATCTGTCTCAAATATTTTCTGGGATTGGGGTTACTTAGCTTCAGTATAAGGATTGAGGGTAGAATACCATGAAAAGTCATCAGATGATCCAGTGTGTTAATCACTATATGGGGGGCCCCATTTGAATTTTTTCTCCCTTGGATATTGAAATGTCTTGAAGCTCTTGTTTCCAAAAGTCAACACTTTGGAATTTCACCCCTCTGAATGAAGTTGTCATCTTGGAGATAAGTGCCTCTGTCATTGTTGTACAAGCACCTGAAACCAGTGACAGCTCCTCATTCTACTTTGCCTTATGGTGGTTTTGCGTTGCAGCTGGTGCTGGATCCTTCATTTATGTAAAAGCTTTTGATAAAAATACCCCCAGTGTTTCACTTGAGGGGAAGGGAAAGCTGTAGCTGCCATATGCAAATATTGGTTTCTGCTAGCAGGTGTAATCTCCATTCTGTTGGCAACCAGATGGATGCAGACCTGATCTGGGGAATAAGGATGGACGGTGACTCTCCCAAGGTTAGTTTCATTTACTTGTTTCTGAATGCAGATTCTCCAGAAGAAAACCATTCAGTCAGAACCACGGAAGTAGGACTCTTTCTCTTTGTGCTGTGCTGTCCCCCAAAATTGACAGAGGAGTTTTACCACATTGATTTGGTTCATTTGAAACTTGAAATTTACAGGTTCATTCAAAACTCTGCAATCCATGTATGCTTGTCCTTCTGAGGAGATGTTGTAGAACCTTCTGGGACTTGCACATGCAGACTTGTATAGATTTACTTGATGCTTGATTGGCATTTGAATGCATGGACTAGTCAAATGCAACAGGGTACAGCGTACATGTAAAATCTTGAAAATTACATTTTAAAAAATTCTAATTGGTTAAATTAATGTTTTGCCTTTTCTTGAGAGCTCAAGGTATCTTAGATCACTTATGTTGATCCTAGCAACAACCCAGTGAAATAGTTGGATCCAGTCTATCCAATGAATAGATCAATGTTTCTCAACCTTGGCAACTTTAAGATGTGTGGACTTCATCTCTCAGAATTCTCCAGCCAGCATCTTAAAGTTGCCAAGGTTGAGAAACACTGGCGTAAATTGTCTGGGTGAGGACTTGAATCTAAGTGGTTCTAGTCCAACATTTTAACCCTACACTAGACTGGCTTTCCCATATATTACAAGGGGAAATATGTTGGTGATTCAGCAAGATCTTGAAGTTTGGGTGGATTGGAAAAGTAATTGTAAACATTACTTCAGTATAAAAAGCAAAAAACATGTTAAGGATGAAAAAAAGGGGCCAAAAGTAATGATGAAACCATATCACCTTTTTAGCACATCCTAGAGTTGATAAGAAGCAATTTAGTTTGAAAATGTTGAAACAGTAATTCAAGAAAAAGCAAGTTTTTGAAAATAATTTCCCTTCCAACTTTCTTTCACAAATTAACTTTATTGATTTCCATTCCAATTACTGGGGAGTTAACTCCATTGAGTTCTGTAGGTTTTATCCAGTTAATCGCATGTGGAATTGAACTCTTAATCTCTGAAACCCGCCTAACCTCTCCCCACACAAAATTAAATTCAGTCTGGATGTCTTTTGATTTTCTTTTGAATAAAACACAGTTGGCCTTAGTGTTCTTATTTTGTAGTGGCACTGAAGAGTCAAAATGGGCTGTTTGGGCTTCTTAATGAAAAGTGAAATGGCTTCAGAAGAATTGTTCATCCAAGGTGGTTTTAGCTAGCAACATTTTGGAGAACCAAGTACAGTTTGCATCATGTCATCATGGACAGGATAGATACAGTGCAGCTGGAAGAGGAAAGGACAGGGGTGATGCAAATATGAGTTAGCTGGAACATTTTCCCTATAAAGAAATGCCTTTTGATTTATGCAAAGATGACTTGGAGAAAGGGAGAGAAAGATTCCTAAGAAGATCAAGAAGATCATCAGGTTTTCTACTCTGGTAGCTTCTAGATATGTTGGAACTGTAGTTACTAAGGTTCTGAGTCAGTCCCAGCAAACCTGGTTGTTGCCAAACCAGGGAAAGTAAGCTAGCTCTCACTAATTAAAACCTTCTCCCCTGCTAATTAGAATTGGATCAATCTGTGAAGTTGTTGGTCATAAATTCAGAGTACAAGTAGTCCTCGCTTAACAACTGCCCTGTTTAGCAACTGTTTGAAAATACGACGGCACTGAAAAAGTAACTTTATGATTGATCCGCCCATGATTGTTGCAGTGTCCCCACAGTCATGTGATCAAGATTCAGGTGCTTCACAACGGGCAGGCATTTACAACTGTCACAGCATCCCACAGTCACATGATTGCCATTTGCAAGCTTCACAGCTGTCTTCCAACAAGCAAAGTCAATGGAGAAGCCAGCAGTAAAATTACAAGTCATAGTCATGTGATGTCTCACTTAACAACCATGGCAGAAGTGAGGTTGTAAGCCTGTTTTGGACACTTAGTGATGGAGTTGCCAATCCCAGTGTGGTCGTTAAGCAAGGACTCCGTCTAGATAAAATTAAAATGAAGTTATAGCTGCTGATTTTGGCGACTTTAAAAAGAATTTAGAGAAATTCAGAAACTAGGGGTGTGTGATAGACATTACCCACAACACCTTAACAGAGTGTGTGGTTTCTTGAATGCTACCATAATATTTAATTATGTGCAGAAAGAGGAGGGGGCAAGCAATTTACCATTAAGCCTGGCTTGCTTGCTTTAAGCATTAGGTTTGTTGCAGTAGAGAATAAGATGTTGGAGTAGGTAGAACTTTGGCTAGAGTTGTGGAAATTCACAAGTTTCCTAACGGCTGTCTTGGCCATTAAGAATCACAGCACCCCAGGTTCAAATCTACTTTTTTCCAAACACAAAGATTTCCATCCTAATTCAGCTGTCCCAGTTTGTTGCCTTCCAGTTCCCAGAAAACCAAGCTGACTGGGAATTCTTGGCACTGGAGTCTCCAAGTATCTGGAGGATAATAGATTGAGGAAGGTTCTCATTAACTATGCTAGGAATAAGATATTTCGTTTACAGGATTTGGGTTATGATCATTCTGGGTGCATATGCCTGTAAAAGAATTAAAGTAGTTGGAACACTGTTACTCTACTCCAGTGTTTCTCAACCTTGGCAACTTTAAGATGAGTGGACTTCAACTCCCAGAATTCCCCAGCCACCAGAATTCCCCAGCCAGAATTCTGGGAGTT